CAATCCCTGACCACGGGGTCACCGAGACCCAGTTGGTCAACCTCTTCTACCGGGCTATGCCCGAATCACTGTGAGGGCACTTCTTTGAGAAGAGCCAGCAACCCACCATGACCTACGATGCCTTGAGCAGGGAAGTGGTGGTGTTTGAAGCGCGGTCCATGTCAGTTTCCACTTTCTGGCACAAGGACCTAGACAAGGGGAAAAAGTGGAAGGGCCGCACCATCTCTGGTCAGGTTAAGACAAAGGATCGTCTGATCCTTACCTTAGACGAAGGTGGTGTCGAAGAAGTTCCCTACGAACAGATAGAGTGGGGGCTTGAGGATGAGGGCAGTAGCAAAGGGCAAGGGAGGACTTATGCTGCTGTCGTGGCTGGAGGGAGGCCACAAGGAGGAGGAAGAGGTCAGGGCCAAAGGGGCCGGGCCTCAGGGGCCCTCAACGGCGCCAGTGCAATAGCGCTCTGTCCCATCGAGGCGGGCCCTCACCTTGGTGCCCACCTGCGTAGCCAGTTCACGTGCAAAGTCCCTGAGCCCCAATCGTATAGAACGCACGACAATATCTTGGCTTCTACCAAATAGAAATTGCTCTTCCTGGACATGTGCCAGGCGCTCTATATTCTTCGCCATAATTTCCATCTTCCCCAATAAATCTACATGTACCGCCATCTGATCTCTTTGTTTCTTTATCTCTTCTAATTCTTTCGTCGGCCCCATGCTTCTTTTCCTTTCCCTGGTGAGGCAAAGCTTCCACTCCATCCTTTTCTCATCCTCCAACACTTGCCGCTTGAGTGGGTCCTCTTCAGCCTCCCATTCTCTTATAGTCGCCTCCTGCTCATCCCTGGGCACATACATCAATGCCTCCTCGTCTTCCCCAAGGGTTAGTCCTGCAACCCATTTTGTAATTCTCTTCTCCAATTGATCCTCTTTAACCCCACTGGATTCTCCTCTGTCGCCTGCCCTCCGCCTTTCCAGTGTTTGCTCTTCTTCTTCTTCTTCCTCTTCCATTGCCTTCAACTTCTCATCTTCCTTTTTCCTCAGCCTCTCCTTCTCTCTGGCCATCTCCTCCTCGACCTTTTTCAGCTTGGCCGCCTGCAAAGGCCTTCTTATTGGCCTCCTTCCTTTCTCTTCTCTCCTTCAGGGCGGCGGCGGCCTTGGCTTCCTGTTCGGGCGTATAGGGGGTGGTACTCGTGCCACTACGTGTGTCAACCATGGTGAAAGATGCACAACCCAATGGCGGTTCCGCTCCTCACCACTTAGACTCTCCCCCTAACTGACAAGACTACTGAGTCGATCTATGGACCACAAGATCCGTATAGAACCCTGTCAACTATGGTCTCTAGCCTAGACTCTACTACTACAGCCGTCACTACAGAACCTGTTGCTGACCAGGAGGCATTTAAGGAGATCCCCCGTAACTCCTCAGGAATTCTTTAACGTCGCAGATAGGACGACGTGGTCAACAGGTTCTCTTAAGACTTAGACGGCCCGTTGTGCAGGCCACAACTCAGATTTCGGGCCTACCGTGCCACACCGAGCAACCCGCCGCTCAGTACCGGTCCTTGGGAGGGTTCGTGTCCTCCGGGACAGTCAAGTCGTCAGACACAGTCTTTAGCCCTACTCAGCCCAACAGGGGTTTGGTCAACGAGGCCCTATTCTTCATACACAGAGTCCTATCACCTAGACAGAAGAGACTCAATGCAGAAAGAAGAGACGGACAGACTCAGACTCAGCGAGTACCATAGGGTGCGTGCACATCCATAGGGCGAGGGGATAGGCTAAGGGCTTGGCGAGATTATACCAACTCCAACTTGGTCAAAGTTGCGGTCAGCAGCTCCGGTCAACGCCTTGGTCAACGCTCCGGTCAACGCCCGACCAACCCCCTGGTCAACACCTGGTCAACCCTTTGGTCAACGCCCGGTCAACCCTCTGGTCAACTCCAGATCAACCCTCTGGTCAACGCTTGGTCAACCCTCTATCAGCTATGGCTGCCGGCACCTTCTTCCTCGCCAACCTTCACTCTCTTTCCTCCTCCTTCGCCTGTCTTCTTCCTCCTTTTCTCTTTTTTTTTTTTTTTTTCTTTTTTTTTTTTTTCGTTCACCTTCGGCTATGTCTGTCTCCAACTTCGTTATCCTTTCTTTCTCCTCCCTCTGCGATCTCTCCTCCCTTCTCTACTTCACCTTCCTCTCTCCTCCGTGTCCCAAGCGCCGCGGCTATGGCCGCTACTCTGTCTTAGACCGCACAACCAATCTCGGATCACTCAACTCTCTCTCCTCGATGATGTCTTCAGCGCAGGTGCGTGATAACCAATCTTGTATCGCTCAGTTCTCGTTCTCTCTCTCTCTCTCTCTCTCTCTCTCTCTCTCTCTCTCTCTCATCGTTGTCTTCTGTGCAGGTACGCGTCACCTCCTTCGCAGCGCAGCTATGGCGGACCTCTTCTTCCCGGTGGCGCACTCCAGCTATGGCGCCCTGTGTCGCGCGTCTCTCTCTCCTGCTACAACGGCGATGGCGCGTGAGATAGCGGGTACCAGCTCCGATACCAGTGAAATCAGACTCGCAATCATTCACACTTTGCATGCATGTAAACAGGCGATACAGCAAACTGGCGACAAGCGCCCACTCAAAGCTCAGAGATATGGTAACCACGGACACAGTTCAGATACACTCTCGTTTCAAATGGCTATGGCGCAACAGCGCCTGTACAACACGCTGTTCGTCACTGCGCCTCACTCTGCTGTACACGCACACTCAACTAGGATCACACTGGATACCCCACACACCACACACTTTGAACACTCGCACACACACACACTGCACTTCACTACCAGCTATGACGGCTATGGCCACTCTACTCTATCGCTATGGCTACCCTACTCTCCTTCAGCCCACTTCGACTTCGGGCGCCTCTGCAGACCACCTCGCACAAGTCACTATGGCAGCGCTTCCGCATGGCTTCCGCAGGAATGAGTGAATGGCTGGGCGCTGCCTCCTGATTTATACTTCTGTAGCTCGCTGGCCTGGCCCTTTTCCCTCGGCCCATTGTGCACACAGTCCCGTATGGTACTTGCTGGACTAGACTGGGACTGACTGGACCGTGATGCTGACTGCATGGGGTTGGACCGCAACCTCGCTGCAGTCGCACTGCCAACGCACTGAGGTTGGCTCCACCACTTGCCCACTTGCCTCTGCCTAAACGTGGACCTACTCCGAAAGGCCACTTCCGGAAGTCTGTAGACTTGGCCTTTCGGTACTGTCGCAGCTACGACCTTGACCTTTCAGGACTGTAGCAGCCACGACCTTGACTCTTCGGACAGGCTACAGCTACGACTTCCAGAACTCACTAGGACTCCTATCCGACAGGTCTACAGATCGAACCCCTACCCCTACACTGACCTACGATGGACAACAACAACTGTTAAAACACAGGTCACGGGTTCAAACACTCGGGGTCAACACAGATACTGTACACAGGCAAGGTGAAAACTAGGGATCGAGCCCTGGGATCTGCACTCGCTACTGCTGACAGGTGAAAACCGTTTCATAATTGTCTTTATTGCGCGCGCTGAAGCTGACTGTGATCTGCACACACATGCATGCTTTAGTTCCACATCATGTGCTTCATCCACCCGGCCACTTCCCATGCACCACCCTTCTCCCAACCACAAGCGCCAGAAGAAGTTGACTCTCAAGGTAGCATCTCACAACAAGAGGATGCTCAAGCAAAACACTTTCCCTCATTGTAAGGTGAGGGTTACGTTACTTAACTTACACACCTGATGGTGCTGCCGCCCAATCACAGAGCTGATGTGATGTACTGTTAGATGACCGGTCAAAGCTCAGGAACCACCGTCAATAAAGTGCTTGTGCTACCACAAGCAACTGCAAGGATCAATATACACTCACCACATGCAACATATCATACAGTCTTCCTCTTTTTTTTTTCTTTTTTCTTTTTTTTTCATACAGTCTTCCTCAAGTACATTCTCTACCCAATGCATGAGCTGGTCAAGCCTGCCCACGGTTGACATCTGGCATCACACGTGCTGACCCGCCAACAACAGTGGCATGTGTCCCTGATCCCGCTCTCAACAACGAAATAAGAACACCAGCATTCACCGATGCAAGATCTCATATGATTGAGCCAAGTTGAGAGCAGAAAACCAAAGCGGAGTGCACACCAATTAGGAGCAAACAGAACATTGAAGCCCCTTGATGAAGAAAGCCCAACTTCCGCTTACAATCATCAATGCAACAACAATGTAGTAGCCCCACTTCCGGTATAACTTCCCTAATCTACTTCTACTACTTTTGGTCATGCTAGCCTCCACTTGTCACTCACCCAATGCTGCTTGAACACTGTTCAGACAGGCTTCCTCCGCCAACATGGGGTAACAACATGGGGTAACAACCGTCCTTGGCTGACCTAGCGACTTCCTGCCTTCATACAAGCTACCCACTTCCTTCCTTCTTCCTCACCTTCCACACTGTACCACTCTGCTTCCCTGTGCCCAGCTATGGTTGGCGCTCGCTCACAGCCACCACACCTGCTCTCCTGGATGTTGGGCAACAGTGCTGCCACCTTGCAGCAATTCACTGAATGTTTCTTGCCTGGCAAACTCTAGTCTTTTGTCCTGGAGCCCATGTCCAGACCCGGCAGTGCCTGTGGCCTACTGAGACTGTGTCCAGGTCCCAGACTTTGCAAGTAACTCGCAGGCCGGGCCTACCGGTTAGTTACAGGGTCTGGCGCCTGTCAAGAGATCCAAAGGCCTCGTTGCTGGCCTTCACTTACGGCCGGCGTCAATTTCCCAGGCCAGCCTTCACTTAGGGCATCCTGGACCCGATTTCCAATGCCAGACATAGGCAGCGGAGGTCTGGGGCCTCACATAAGCAGTCATGAAAAATAAATAACAATCAAATTCTGTTCATGAAAACTTTTCAAAAGCTGAGGCAAAAAATCAAAACAGTAAAGCTTCACATGGACAAGCAGTACTGGTAGCGAGAACTTACATCATCATTACCAGCTCTAGTTTCCCAATCCAAGACGGGATTGTCCCCGTCAGTTGATTCGAATGGGCATTCCTGCCAATAAGAACAGCAAATCTTCAAAGTGAAAAAAAAAGAAGGCATCTATCTCTCAATAGATGTAATGACCTGCAAAAACACAGACTGAACACTGCTGATTTCTGAGTTTTTCCACTGGCATATGTGCTGAGCTGAGATTCCGGCTTTCTGCTGGGATTCTAAATCTGTGTGTGTGCGTGCTTGCTGGTTTCCATGTGCCCGTCTGAGTGCATGTCTGCCTGAGTGTGTGTGTGACCCGCCAGGGTACTTGTTTGTTTGGGAGGCCCTTGGGGCCGGTACTTACCTGTTACCGTGGCTTTGAGGATTGCGGCGGGGAAACACTCAAGTGGCCGAAGGGGTAGCTTAGTGGCACACTCAAGTAGTAGTGTAGGCCTGGTAGTACTTGAGAAGCGGTAGGCCGAGCAGAAGAAGACAAAAAGTTAGTACCTTCAGAGGTCGTGTGAATTTTAGAGAGTCTGGTAGGCCTAGGTCTAGGTACCAGTTCTGAAGTCTGAGTCTAGGGCCTCTACCGGACGATATCAGACCTACAATGATGTTTCTCTCCGAAAGGGAGGAGGTACCGGGTGCTTGGGAGGCCGCGCGGTCTGGAAGTCACCGCACAAGAGGCTGGTTACCCGCTATATCAGAAGGAAGAGTGAGTTGCTCTTCCACAGTTACGGTGTGCGAGTTTGGGCATCACGCTGCTGGAGCGCTGGTTGGAAGGGTGCTGTGTAGAGCACTGGGAGGAGGAGCACCTGCGCTTCTACCTTGGCTATGGTGGACAGCGCCAGGTAGGAGGACGAGGAAGAAGGGGACCTTGGGTGTAGATGACATAGCCTCTTTTGCATTGTCTTTTGAACATCGGGACAACGCCCCTAGCACTCCGCCATAGCCATCACCTGTCCGAGGTGGATGGAGGTGGAGGTCATGGCTGTGGTGGACCTCAAGTTGTGCTGGCAGTACGAGAGGGATTCGGACATTGGTTCTGGTTCAGCCATTCATTGTTAATATTATTACTTATTGATGAATAAGATTGGGGGAGATGAGGAGGAGGAGATTGGTTGGGGAGGGAAGGGGGATTTGTCATTGGTCTTTTGCTGGTGTACATCTTCTTCTTCTTCTTTCTTTCTTCTTTCTTCTCCTTCCTTTTTGTCTCTTTCTCCTTTCAAGTTCTTTCATTTCGACATTATCTTTCCTTGTGTATTTGCACTTCGGATTTTGCCAGGATCATAGCATTGTTATCGGAGTGGATTTACTTGCTGGTGAGAGTTGTCTGCCTGCCCCAATCCTAAACTAAGTAGTTGAGGGCTACTACTTTGGGTTAGGGTTGGCAAGTTGACGAAAAGTGGGGCAGCGTGGTATGGGGATGTTTTCCCCACCTGGCTGGGACGTGTAGGGTCGACATATGACCCGGCCAGGTTGCTGAGGTGTAAGTTTGGGGTGAGGAGACACTTAGAGGGTGGAAAGTGTAGGGTCGACATATGACCCGGCCAGGTTGCTGGAGTAAGTTTAGGGTGGCGAGACACTTGGAGGGACTTCATGATGCAATTTGGGAGAGGTGACGGTGAGAGGCACTCGCACCTGGAATCTGGACATGAGGAGGACATTGATTGACTTTAGGGCTTTTATCAAATATGTGAGCTTGAGGGAAGCGGCCATATCTGCATTGAAGGACTGCAAGTTGCTACTTTGGTCTTCAACGTCGGCAGGGGATCTGACATTGTACTTTGGTGTAGAGTAGACCTTCCTAGGTGGTAGGACACTAGTGATACATGCTCGTTCAAGCAATGTATATGGAGCCAAGGATCCGCAAAGTGATGAAAAGGACACGAATGGACAATGCAGCATCAGAAAAGCATCAACAAGCAATGTACATCCAGATACATACGAAAATACCACAATGTAGCGCAACGGAAGACTCAAAGGTATGACCTGACCTGTCAGATACTGACGTAACACCCCATCATACATCACACATGTGAGAGGGAGAGGAGGGACCGCATACATAGAGGAAAGGTCCCTCCTTGAGCGCGCACATGGGGAGATACCATGCATGAGGAGATGGGGGAGAGGCGAGACGAAGATGCAGAGGAGGGAGCGGACCAAGATCGCGATAGCGAAGTCCAAAAATAGTCTCCCCGCCGATGTCCAATCAATGTCTGCCACAAAAATGTCGAATCAGATCCTGGGCTTCATAGCCCGATGTAACCTCTGCCTGTAAACTCTCTCTCTCTCTCTCTCTCTCTCTCTCTGAAAGAAGAAGAAGAAGAAGAAGAAGAAGAAGAAGAAGAAGAAGAAGAAGAAGAAGAAGAAGAAGAAGAAGAAGAAGAAGATGGGAAGAGGAGGAAGAAAGAGGGAGGACGAGGAAGAAGAAGATGTCGCCATCCTCCTCGTTGTCCTCACCTGTGGAGGTGGCCACAGCTGTGTTGCACGTGGCCGGTGCGGAGCTCGGCTATGGAGCCCAAGTACGTGCGCCGCTGCAGGATGGTCTCCGCCCCTCACCCTACCTTCACCTCCACTCACTAGCGCAGCACCGTGTCGCGCTGCTCCAGCAGCGTGTCACCCAGGAAGTGAGCTACTCAAACTGTATGTCTGCCTTGGCCTGGCCCAGCTATAAGTAGCGCTGGGCCTCACTCATGTGCCTCTGGTCCTTGGCATGAAACGGCCTGCCTGGGTCCCTACCGGACGTCCAGGCCCTCCCTGCTGATGCAGCAGGGAGTGTCCGCTACTGGACGAACACGAACCTGGCCCGAATGGGCTTGACTGCGAACGAAGAAGGCCCAGAACGTGGCCTTTGTTCGAAGAGACCGAAAGTCTGTTCAAACGAAGTGCAAGTCCGAAACGATGCCTGAACAGACAAAAATAAGACAGCAAATAAATAAATAAATAAATGCTGCCTCAAATCGAATCATGTGGGCCTCAAGTCAGTCGTGGGCCTGCCAGGTGCATGTCTGAATGTCGTGCGACCTGGGGGGCCCCGACAACCGTTGGTGTAACGAGCGTGAGGCTGAGGGTGAGCCGAGGGAGAGGAGAGAGAGGGAGAGAGTGAGAGCACACACACACACTCACTCACTCGACACGACTGACTCGGACTGAGGATCGGACGCAGACACAGTGGCAAGGCACAAAGTCGAAGTCTTGGATTCCGAATGCCGAAACAGCAAGTCACACTGAGTACGAGTACAGCAGCAGGGAACTGGTATGAGACTGGTCCCCGTACCGTACGGGGAGCCAGTATAAGTACCGGTGACACTTACGGTACTAGGGGCATTTCTGCAAAGGCCCCGAGGGCAGAACTGAAAAATGCAGTATTTGAAAGTGGCGCCCGAATTGCAGCATGGCGCCAGTTGTCCAAAATCCTACGGTACCAAAGGAGGGGTTTGGAAAAAGGGTGCCAGGCCGAAAACGGGATGCAGCCGAAACAGCAAAAGATAGACCAGGGATCGAGCCCTGGCGAAGTCCGTAACAGTTGGGCTCCCGAAACAGGGCCCGTGTGCAGGGTCAACATGTAACGCCCCCCCCTCCTTATGAAGTCAAGTCGGGTTGAGGACGAAGCTGACGATCCGATGGTGGAACCTCGACAAAAGTACGGCGTGGAGCCGAAGATATCGGCTTGCCTTGCTGTTTGCGTTCGTGACGTAAGAGGACATTGGGGGCTATAGCCTGAAGTTCCGCACGGGTCAACCAACGGTCAGCCTTGTGGCTGCAGCAGGAGAAGGGTACCAAGTACTATGTCGGCTTGGTGCCTTAGCATCACTGCGAAATGATGTTGCTAACCTCCTGAAAACCGTCCATGGAGGGTGGGTCTTGCCATCGTCGCCCGGGAAAGTCGTTGCGCTCTGCCAAAACGAAAAGAACCAACTTTGAACAATGAAAGACCACGTGGACGGGCAAGTGGGCAGGCACCTGAATGACAAATGAAGGTCCTTCGGGTGCGTCCCCAGCGGATGCTACAATGCGTCAAAGCCCTATCCATTTCGGGAGGAGCTTGCGAGAGAGATCCTGCTCGAGGCCGAATTCCACAGCGGAGACCCAAACGAGGTCGCCCGCGCAGAACGGACAAGGAAGACACTAACGATTGGCTTGACGGCTCATGCATTGCTGTGTCTTCGACATTTTAGTCTCGTGCCTTGACCAGGAGCTCTTGCATCCGTCGAATGTAGACAAGGTGGTCGTCGCTCTCGGTCGCTCATGGGATGATGGTGTCCAACGACAATGTGACCGGCAAGCCATGCTCGAACATAAAGGGCGACATCCCAATAGTCGGATGAGTGGACGAGTTGTAAGCCAACTCGACGTCCGGCAGCCGCTCAACCCAATCCTTTCGGTTGGGATGAATGAGAGTGCGAGAAGAACCTGTGCGGTTTGAAGCGCCCTTTCTGTCTGGCCATCGGTTTGTGGGTGGCAAGGTGAACTCGGCTTGAGAGATTAGCCCTATCGTTTGATGAGAGCCAACAAAAAGTTGGACATGAACCGAGTGTCACAGTCACAAATGATCTCCTTGGGATAACCCTTGGTGCTAATCCGACTGGCGTGAAGAACCTTTTCCAACTTCGGTGCCTTCGCGTGATAGCAACAAGGCAAAAACATGGCGAACTTCATGCTTCGATCGACCACCGTGAGAGTCCCATCCATACCGGTTTTGCGCTTGGGAAACGGCCCGGTGATGTCCATGGCTCCATCGTCCTAAGGGGACCGGTAATGGTGGCAGCTCGCCGAACGGACTATGGTTGTGGGATTTGCAACGCCAACAAACCTCACATGACTCGCAATAGAGTGTGACGTCGCCGAGAAGGCCGGGCCACCAAAAGTGCTCACAAAGTCGGCCAATCGTACGATTGACTCCAAAGTGTCCGGTGGCAGGAGCATCGTGGAACTCACCAAGAAGCCACATACGCAAGTGTGGATTACTTGGCATACAAAGAAGATCTTGCCCCCGCGAGTGGACTAACAAATAACCCTCTTGGATCCAATAGTGCGATGGCGCCGGATTTGGAGAGGAGCAATTCGTGCACTTGTCATGAAACTCGAGGTCGGCTTGGTAGCCGTGAATGAAGCTGTCCCGGAAGTCGTCGTCCACCTCGAACGTCGAGTAGACCGTGGTACAAAGGTTCGGGCGCCGCGAAAGAGCGTCTTCAAAACGGTTTGACTTTCCCGGAATGTGATCGGGAAAAAAGTCAAACTGGTCAATGAAAGTCATCCAACAGGCGATGGTACTATTAACCGTGTCTTAGGTCTTGTAAAAACCCAACGAGTTGTTATCTGTTACCCATGGGAATTGACTTCGACCAAGAAGAAAATGCCGCCACCGCTTAAGCACGTGTCTTAGGCCAATAACTCCTTCCGTGCGTCATCAATCGAGTGCACGACGGGCACTTTCTTGCAAAAGTATCCGACCGGGTGACAATCCACTCCATCGTGTTGCTTGAGGACGACACCAATACCATAACCGGATGCATCGGTAGTGACGTGAGTCGGCAAAAGTGGGTCATACATGCGTAAAACCTCTACGGATAGCAGGGCGGCTTTGGGGGCAAAAATGAAGCTCGCGCATCGTCCTCAAAGTCGAACAGCCGGTCCTCTTGGTCAAATTATTCGCGATCTTCGAATAGCCGTTGATAGTAACTGGCGAGGTTAAGAAACGAGCGGGCATTCGTAACGTTCTTCGGCTCTGGCCACTCTTGGACGGCTTGAATCTTGTCTAACAATGGACTAATGCCTTCAGGTGTAACGAAATGGCCCAAGTACTCCAACTCTTGACGCACGAACTCACACTTGTCGCGGTTGGCTTTGAACTTGGCGTGATGGAGCGTCTCCAACACACGTCAAAGATGCTCGAGATGGTCCTCCAAGGTCCCGCTATAGACGAGAATGTCGTCCAAGTAAACCAGCACAAAACGGTCAAGCATCACGTGAAACTCATTGGTCATCGCCGCTTGAAAAGTCGTCGGGCATTGGTGATGCCAAAATGCATGACAACCCACTCAAAACGTCCGTACTGCGTCTTGAACGCGGATTTGTAGCGATCTTGATGGCGTATCGAAATCTGATGACAGCCCGACTTCAAGTCCAATTTTCAAAAATACCTTGCGCCGCCCAAATGCTCAAGAAGATCGTCAACACGAGGAAGAGGCCCCGCATTCTTGACACTTTGCGCATTGAGCTTGCGATAGTCAATGCACAAGTGAAGATCCGTGTTCTTCTTCCGTACAAAGAGAACTGGCGCACCATATGGTGAGCTACTAGGGCGAATCCAACCCTTGTCCAACAAATCATCGAGTTGCACGCGCAGAACCACGAGCTCTTCCTCGCTCATGCGATGGATGCATAAACCCGTGCCTGTGCCCAAAATCACAACTTGGTACACTACATGTCCCATCGGACAACCTCACAAAACCGATTTTTGCTGGGCCCAGCGACCGGCTTAGATAGATAGATAGATAGATAGATAGATAGATAGATAGATAGATAGATAGATTATTGAAAAGACGAAGTTGAGGGAGTTCAAGGAGGTTGGAGATGGTGGCGAGTTGGAGAGGGATTTGACATTGGTCTTTGACGGTGTACATCTTTTTCTTCTTCTTCTTCTTCTTCTTCTTCTTCTTCTTCTTCTTCTTCTTCTTCTTCCATTCTTATTTCTTCTATTCTTCCGTTGTCAATTTCTCTTTCCCAGTTCTTTCATATCAGTTGCAATTGAACAACATTGTGTTTCTTTGAGTTACTGCACTTTAAGATAGCCAGGATCATAAGATGATCAGGATCATAACAGGAGACAGATCAAAGCAAACCCAGACAAGCAGCAAGAGTTCAGGGCCAAATTTGTGTAAGGACACGCTGCAAGGAAGCACAATCCACTTTAGTGTAAACACGAACAACTAATGGCCCGGGCCTGATGGCCATCCACGAGGCCAACTCCACACGTAGTCTATCAACCAGGACAAAGATAAACCTTCAACCAGCTTAGATCCTAGGTGATGGGTTTTTCAGACGGGGATTGGACTAGCTGTTTGTGTGTATTTTTTAAGGGGGTGCTTACTAGATACAAGAGCGGGGTGACTTGGACTTGTGGGGGGCGTGCTGGCAGTGAATCCCTACTAAGGGAAGCAATCAATGTTGTCGAGGCTCCCTGGGCTGTAACGCAAGGAAGCGTCGAGTGGGTACAATCAATCATTCTGGGAAGATACTGGACCTGGTTTCCAGCAGGTGCTCGCATCTTTTCAAAATAAACAAACAAAAAACAGAAAAAAGCTCGCAGTTGTCATGTCGTGTAAGAAATTCCAAACTCAGCAGTTCATCCTGTCCACCACTCCAATCCAACCCCTTCATCCCAAGTCCCCCCCAATTGGTTGAACAGCAGCAAAAACTTGACCGTGGAAGGACCACCACAACAATTATTTCATTCGCACAGCAATTTCCTCTTTTTTTCTTCACAGCGAATTCCTCCTCCCCTTGCCATAATTATGTCATTTGCGGCACCAGATTAAAAAAACGACAAATGTGGAAGGACAGTTTCGACCCATGGTAGGTGACTTTGGTGGGTGGGGGAGCGGGAATGCGTAGGGATTTGCAACCAATATCGATGCAAGAGATTCCCATTTGAAAAATGTGGTTCATTGAATTGTATATATAAAGTCAAACTGTAGGCGAGAGGGAGAAGAGGACAACAAACGAGGGACTGTGACAAACTGTTTCGTCGGAATTCACCGACTCATCAGGAGGCTGAACCCTCAACAGTCTGCAGAATCCCCTAACTGATTACACTGTAGGTGATAATCCACCTTAACCCCGGCTGTGGTTAAGAATCAACGACTATCATTCCATTATATGCAGCTCATAACACGTTGGGAAGAGAACAAAAGCAGCTCAGATGGCAGAGGAGGGACAAGGAGCTGGAAAGAGAACAAAAGTTGCTCACAAGTTCATCAAACTTGTAACATTTTCCAGATTAGGCAGCTCTCCCATGAAGCCATTACGCTCTACACTCCTGCACACCTCACACACACACACACATACAGACAGAGGATAGAGTAAAGCGAGCACTGCGTATAAGGTACTTCATACACATAATAGAATTGAGTTCTTTATGTTTCCTTTCACAAGGGATTTGTTCACTACCACAGTGTTCAGCGAGATTCTTGGGAAACAAAAGCAAAACAAAAGTGTTCAGGACTAGAGAGCATCCATATTTTATGGAGCTGAGTGTGACTC